TGAACACTCCCTTCACGATACTGAAGCTCCATCGCCGCAGAATCTGGAGTGCCGCGTGCGGTTACCAAGTCCGTGGTGTCCTGAAACTGATTTTCCATCATTTGGTTAGAAGATCCTTTCATAAAGTTCATCGCAGAAAAATAATTTCCATAAAAACGACCTCCAGTTTTTTTGGGTGAGAATCCAGGCCCTCTTCGTCCACATTTTTCGAGGTCAGTACGCCGTCTTCCATTTAATATCTGAAAGTGCAATGTTATTTGAACAAAAGAAAAGAGCGACACTCAAAAAAAAAACGCGTTAAGGGTGTGCAAATAGACTACTATGACTAGTCCGTGAACAGAATTGATTTAGTAACGTGGGTGATACAGTGGTATTGGGCACCGGTTAGAATGGAAGAGACGGACGAATTTAAGGTAGGACGCTGTTAATCGCTTTATATACGTTTGCGATGCTTATCATCGGGATATCAGATGTCTTATCATTTTCCAAAGCATTCAGTTGGAGATTAATTAGGAGCTCACATATTTAGACAGACTTCAGATCAGATCGCAATGCCGCTATCATTTCTGGATTTGGTTTTTTTATACACGTTTGTTGATGCTTATCATCGGCAATATCACATGTCTATTCATGTTCGAAAGCATTTATTTGGAGATTGATCAGAAGCTCAGATGTCAAAATGGGCTTTGGAGCAAATCGCAATGCCGCTATAATTTGTGGATCAAAGATCAAAACTATCTACAGGTCATGCTTCTAGCACGGTAACATCACGAGCGCCACTTTAGTGAAGCATTGTCGTATACAAGCGCTTCCCTGTTCAGAAAGTACTTTTCCGAGAAGTTTGAAATTTTGACGGACGTTAAAAGATAGATTTGTTTAAGTATTGGGGCAACCAAAGTGTTACCAGAGAGAGTGGCATCTTCCCATTGTGATACATATAGTGTGAGGCGGTAGGGGTGTTAGTAATGCGCAGCATCTCACCGCAGTTAGGATTCCTTCGATCACCCATTCTAAGAAAGCTGCTCATGCGTAACGTCCTCCACTGACCGGATTTTTTCTTTCTGAAGGTAGGATGTAGCATGGGTTGCTAAGAAACATGTAGGTCGTGACATCCAGCTCCAGAAAAGTCGACGGTGATAATATCGGATTCGACGATTGTTCCTTTTATGCTTTCAATTGTATCTGAACTTGCTAGTGCAGATCAGGAGGCGATCTCTCTCCAGCGAAATTTCGGAGTTTGATATGAGAACTGTGAAAAGAAAAAAAATTAATATGGAACCGTCTTGTCATCAATTATGTTATTGCGTAATGTGGTGGTGTCTCATTATCGTTCATAAGGGATTCCTTCAGATGTCCCTTTTCAGAGGCCCCGGAGTCAGCTCAGTCGCGATGGCATGTGACGCTTCCCCAGATGGTAGATAGAGTGATCAAACGCAAACCAAAAGCGAGCGTGGCGCTTTCCAGAGACGTAGGTAGATTCAAATAATGAGCTACCTGATTCTGCAGTGACAATTTGACAAGCTTCTATCTGTATAAGTCAAACTGATCAAAAGCCTGAAATCAAGCCTCTGGAAAGTTTATAGTAGGCGATAAGAAGTTGCCTGCAACAAATAGGCTTCCCTGCTCTTTTGAAAGAGACCAGAAAGTTACCCGTGATCACCTAGCTCCTACGTTCAGAGTCTAGCAGGTTATACGTTAGGCATCAAAGCGCTAAAAAGAGTGATAAAAATAAGCTCCATTCCTCTGACCGCGAAAGAGCCTTTGGTAGGGTACCGTCGTGTAGGACTACTACGGAGATGCTGTTGAAATCTTAGGGTCAAACTAAACGGCCATAATCGGAACGGACTAATGTGACGATCTGTACCTATGACTCACGTACATTTGGATACTATCCTCTATAAAGGATAAAGGACAAAGGATAAAGCTCTCGGCGTTGATCAATCCCTGAAGGATGCGTCATGCATTCGACTTCAATTTTTAACTTTGTTTGAGGTGATTAAATGCATGACTAGCCTTTACAATGAGTCGCGGTGGCCTACTGCTGAGCTGAGTCAGTGCTGCTTATCCTCCCAGACAAGTCTGAGACCTGTCTGGTACCAATTTACCGACCCCGGAGGGATGGATGGCTTGGTGAGCCATGAGCGCGAGATCGAACCACTGACCTCGTGTGCGACGCAGAACACCTCTAACCACTGCGCCACGATCCTCTACAGAAGATATAATAATGCATACAAGAAAGATTAGGTACGACGCCCTCGGCTTGGCCGAGACGAAAAGACGTCGTACATTTCATGCCTTGTATGACACCAGAAAAAAACTGCTTTTTAGAACACAAGATCTCGAAGGTGTCGGAGAACGATTTCGAGTTTCGTTTTTTCTTTTCTCTTCAATTTCGAGACGACAATCAACATTGATTCATTTGAACAAATAGCGACACCGTTCGGGCGAGTGCACTTAAGACAATATGGATCGATGACGAAAGCGACGATTTTCATTGCTTAGGCATCAACATCAATCTATGACGAAGACGAACTCTAAGTTTTTTTATGAAGTTCCAAAAGCTCTTGGACACCTTAAGCTTGTTATGAATAGCTCTTCCGAGAAGAATACCAGCAGTATAAGTCTAATTTAAAAAACAAGTGAAGCTAGTCGGGAGTTCTAATAAATGCCTCGGTCGTAAGCGTATGTTCTTCTTTCCATAACGGTAGACGAAGTCTATTATCGAAGTCTAAGTGCACTGGCAAGAAATATTCAGGATTTTTAAAGAAGAAAGTCTTGCAAGGCCATAAAGTAGTAAATATAAAAATACGTGATAACAATTTTTCTTCTCAAGATGAACTATTCAGCTGTTTAAATAATTATAAGTGATATATTCCGTTTTGATTGGTAAGCTATCACAAGTAATTCTAATTTTCTATATCATCATTGACAACGTTTCGGCGGTTTCGCCTTCTCAGAGCCACGACGATTTGAGTGTAATGTCCATACCTGTTGTTGATTTTGTAATGATGCTTTTCGTAACCGTCGCATCTAGACGAATCAAGTGGGATGGAAAGCCGCACGAATGATGTACCGTCGTCAGCGTCAATTTTTTTCTGTAAGATTCTAGACACCTTCAGGCGATCAAGACACATCGCAGAAGTTCTCTAGATCCAAAACGATACTCAAATAATTGTCAATCATAACATTTGATTGCCAATCACAGCTCATCTGGAGCAGCCATAATAGTATAGCTGACATAAATGAAAGCCAACCTTTCCTTCCACTTTTTAATGAACTTCAGTGAGGGAGAGCAATATCTTGTTCTATTCATGAACTAACCCGAGGCGTCTTTTTTTTAAATAAATACTTATGATTATTGTGTAAAGTTTACATCTTTGGTAAACCACCAATTAGCTCCTTTTCTGTTTAACCATTCACTGATCTTTTCACTTTTCACCTAAACAAGAATTTTTATCTATTCAACCATTTTGACTATATTTGTCTGTTCTAATTATACCGTGACAATTGCAGAACGTAGTTCAACTCCTTGACAGCCATATTTACCGTTTTCGGTACATAGCATGCGCCGCGCTTGCGGCGAGCCGCGGCGAGTTCGTATCGTCACGCGCTTTCATGCAAATAGAATTTTATCTGTTGGTTAAAGTTCTGAGAGCACATTATTAGCAGTAAGTGATGAGAGATCACAGAAAACACTTCTATAGAGGATATTCTACCGAAAAAAGGCCATCTGCTAAAAACCATTCTATAATTTAACGAAAAAACCACATCTTTTGGGAAGCAAACTTACACTCAGTTGTCACATCATACTTTCTTCGTTTTTTTCAAACTATATTTTTGCACCCAATTGATAGCCTGAAAAATACCGATTCTTAGACTAAGCTCAATTTGTTGAAGGACTAAATTACGTTCTGCGAACGTAAAAAAGATAAGGTTCTGTTTTCAAAGTCCGTTATTAAAGTCCCACAACGGACTTTTTGGCATTGAATAGTAGAATTTTAGTGCTAAGTAAACTTTCTCGCTATGAAAAACTGAACAATCGTTATATGGACCTCTATGAACGTAATATAATGAAAAGAACGTTCAGTTGGTCTTGAGAGCCTTTACTTCCTACCAAGAAATGGGTGGAGTGCGATTGCATTATATGAAAAATACTCGTGTTTTCTTCCTTTTCCAACAAGAACTTTTTCACCAGATTATTAGTAATCATTTACTACCTTAAGAACTGGGGACTTTAGCAATAAATTTGGTTTCTGAGAATGGAAAGTGATAACTTGAAAGAGAATTACGTTTTACTTTCGGAATCCAAAGCAGCACTTGAACTCAGACTATACTCGTGTAGTACCAACAATCGTTATTCCTTTCGGAATAATTCTACCTTGAGATATATGTATTAACGTTATATACCAAAATAATCGCAAGAAGCTTCTATAAACAATAATGAAAACTGAATCATGAAAAATAAACTACAAAAACGAAAAAGTCCGAAAAATTTTTTCTTTTCAACACAATAGGACGTTTCGAGAAAGCCATCAGAATAGAGCATTCAAGAAAATGTGAACTCTATTCCAATGAATAAACTGCGATCAAACTCACAGCTTTTCCTGCTTGATAATCTCGTTTAGTCGATTACAACATGTGTTTTAGGGCTCCTGTAAAAACCACTCAGCTTCTGTTCTCGAGATTCATTCATAAAGATTAATGTTTATAAATCGTCAACACTGACTAGTTGACATCAAACGACGTTACGAGATAAAAACTCGGTAGAAAAAGAAAAACATCAAAGATACATTGGAGAACACGTCGCTAAACGACGAAGAACAGAAATTAAGATGATTAAAGGAATGAAGCCAGAGACAGCGACGGAACTATTAAGAATCCGGCTAAACTAAAAGATTATAATCGTGGTAGTATCTTTAGCCCATGTAGAGATTGTAATCTCACCATTTTTTAAAGTATTTTTCTTACATTTTAAAGAGAATTGATGTAAGCAAAAACCGGACCTCAGACGGGAGTTAAACCCGCGTTTTATCCATAACGCGGACGTGTGCTGCCACTACACCACCGAGGCCATCGCTTACTCATCACTCATTCTTCAATATCCCCCTATGATAAATATCAGCCACAAACCATTAACAGGTTTAGGAGGGTGAGCAATATCGTTTATGAGCCCAGTTAAGCCGAAAGCGAATGTGCTCAGATAATTCCAAAATTTCTTATTTTTTACTGTTTTTTTTTGCAGTGTTATTATGCTTCAGATATTCCTAAAAGAGTTGAGCGGTAGATGAAAATTGGACCTCAGTAGAGAGTTGAACTCGTATTTCGTCCAAACCGGGGGGACGCGTGCTACAATTTCTGATTATCACCCAACATTCTTGGGAATATTCGAAACATCATAACACTGCGAAAAGCAGCAAAAACATTAGAAATCTTGGGATTACTTTTTCTCAATTGACTTCTTTAAATAAGAAGTTCCGAGAGCACGTCAAGGATGAAATAACATCTTCAATCCTTTGGGGGAGAAACTTTTTGCGTTCTTTCTTCAGACTTATAGTAATCATTCGAAAAGTGAAAGCTCGGAAATTTCAGAGTATAGCTTTTCTTTAGAACGAGAATGTAGCTCTTCAAAACAACCTTCATAGAGTGCTACAGCAGCGGAAATAAGATTACGTTTCTAGACTTATTAAGTCCCATCCACGCACTTTAGCCGACAAAAATACGCGCCGAGTGTTAAATTCAATGTTATTTTTGTTGCTTCAGTGCACCAAACCGGCCTTCTCATGGGGCAAGCACACTATTGGAATCGCCGAGACTTATGTTATCGAATGATTTCTCAAAGCCTGAGGGAAAAGGTGCATGTCGAAAATTCAACGTGATTTTATGGTTCTTTTCTGCCAAACGGCAACAAATGGATATTCGGCCCCATTTCATCAACAAGAATTTCTCATATGAGTGCTAGTAATCATTCGAAAGCACAAATATCTGGCTACAACCGTACATGGCCGCTCATTCAAAACACCCCTTTATAACGCTGTAATATCAAAAAAGAAAATTATGTTTTATACCTGCTGTGCGCCTTCATTTTTATCGCACGTATAATTGGCTGGAAGCACGAAAAGCATATGAACGTGTAGAGAAAGTTTTGTATTATCTGAGTCAATCGGTATATCTGGAGCTTTTTTCAAAGCGAAGGAAAAATTTTGAATTGAAAAAGTTGCATCCCACATGTCTAACCGGTCTGTTCATTGTGCGATTCACCCGCCCGCCAACGCGTAGATTAGCCGGTAAACAAACTCGTCGAATATGTGAAATTCGATCTTATATACCCTGCTGCACTGCAGTCAAACGCTCTTTCCCAAAAATAAGTATGAGTTGAAATTTCTGAAACCCACGCTATCGAATGATTGCTAGTAGCTTGAAGAAAGAACTTGTACGTCGAGCTTAACGTACATCTTTTCTTTCTCCTGCAGCGTTATAAAAAGAGTTTTTTCTGAAAACGAACACGTTTTTTAGTCCATCGAGACTTGCGCTATCGAAAGAGTACAAGCCGGCCAAGGGAGGAGTTTCGTTCAGCGAAATTTAAGCGAGATAAGAAAAAAAAACGTGATTTATTTCGCATCTCACAGCATTACAAAGAGGTGTTTGGATAAACCGGTCACATAAGGCTTTAGCCAAGACTTAAGCTTTCGAATGATAATTAACATTTTCATGAAAAATTCTTTTCCAACGAATGAGGTCGAATATTCGTTTGTCGCTATCCGACAGAAAAGTACCGATTTTACTTTCACCGCGACAACGACATGAGGCCTTTCTTTTAGAGAATAAAGCTCTACTACTGAAATCGCCAAAATTTGAGCTTTCAAATGATTACTAAATGTCTCAGAATAGAAGGCAGAAGGACAAACCTCTCGGCGTTAATGATTCTCTGAGGAATGCCCATGCATTCGTCTCAATTTCTAGCTCGTTAAAGATGACTGAATGCTCATCTGGTCTTTACAATGAATCACGCTGGCCTACTGCTGTATCGATTCAGTACTGTTTACCCACTCAGATAAGTCTGAGAAGAGTCTGATGCCAATTTACCGACCTCAGAGAGATGGATAGAATAGTGAGCTCTGAGCACGAGATGGAACCATCAACTTTGTATGCCACGCAGAGCACCTGTAACCACTGCACCACATGCGTTCTAGTGTCTGAGGGAAGAGCAAAAAAAGCCTTATCCTCAAAGAGCAAAAGGCATCCCGATAATACGAAAATACCGAATTCACTAGGAGATTCGCAAAATAGAAAATCTCGAAAACCCTCAAAATTGACGAAAATCCGCCACGTCCTGATGATTGGGCCGTTCTATCCTCACTCTTCTATGGCTAACAGATTTGTATACCAGCTGTTGAAGGGAATAAATTCAGATCATTAATTCACAAGTTACCCTTGAAGGCTACTATGGTCTTACGCAAATCAACCTGAATTGTTCCTATTTGCCCGATTTTAGGTGTGGTATGATATTATAACATATCCAGTGATGAAGAGTGATGTGGAAAACTTCTCCATCAGGTGCGATTCAAACCCAGATCTCACTCTTTCCGGGAGCGCGTGCTGAACCGTTGCACAACCGACGCTGGTGCATCAGGTGGGATAAGTTTTGCACATTACTCTTCTTCACTGGGTATATAATCTTGCGTAAGTTGGTTGTTATCTTAGACAGGAGGAGAAGACGACAGTGGGGAGCTGTGGTTCCATCAACTTTGCCTAAGCATAAACTTGAGCTTGAGCTAAGCCGCTCGTAATTTCTTATTCGCAGAAATCAATCAAAAAATAATGTGAAGATTGATGAGGCCACAGCTCCTCAGAAGAGCAGAGAAAAAAGTCATTTAGAGAAAAATAAAAAACAACAGAGGGCCAAAATTCGAAAAAAAATTTAATCTCTTCTCCCATTTGTTGTTAGTGCGTAGTTGGAAAAGCTCCCTGTCCTGTCGTAAGTTTCCAACAAATAAAATCTAGAAGTCGTGTTAAAAACGAAGCGGATATACCAAGCAGTACACAAACAAGCAAACACGTAGACAAGTAAACAATTAGGGAACAACAGTCGTAGTGTGCAAATTAGGGCTGATGAAATTGTGGTGGACACAGGAGCAGAGCACAAAGATGCAGAATGGTGGGGGTGAGTGACGCAGAGGGGATTGTCGGGGTGAGGAGGGACGTCGGTGTTGACGGGCTACGATCCTAGGACTCCGTTGCGGGTCGATGTCAGCTCATTGGTATCCCCCTCTCCCCGCCCTTTTCTTGAGTGTCTTACGGAAAATTTACTTCTATTATCATCCTCAGGGAGGTGAGGGTCTAGACCGGTGGAGGTCATGGACTCCCACATCGCCAAAACATCGAGATCTCTTCAACCCAGCGCCGATAGACCTTGAACTATCCCACGCCGTTCCAGACAGGTCATTCACTAGCATCACCTTGTCCGTCGTCACAAGCGCCAGCTCCAGTCTTCGAATACGCTCTGTCAGACAGCTCTGATGGCCAACGCCTACGACTTCGAGCTCCTTCTTACACGAGCAGGAGACACAATCCAGGCAGCTCCACCGAAACGTCATTAGCAGCTCACATTGTCTACGAGAGTTCCTCCTCCGAGCGTACAGCCATTCAATACATCTCCAATCGTGATATAGGTGCAACAATCACTTTGGCTCAGAGAACATCGGACAGCGGTACTACCCTTCTATCGCTGTACCACACCCATAAATCGGGCCTAGACCCAGGCCTTGAACGAGCATCACTGATACTATAATGACTCGGGCAGTTTTCGTCGCATTCTTCCCCTATAAACTTTTGCACATGCTATCGTGTTGTTTTCCCATATAGTTTCCATAGGAGCGATTGCATCGCGTTCCTGTGTACGCTATTCACAAGCTATCAGGTAGCGCCAATGTAGCTTCGCTACAGGCTGTTGTGTTGCACCGTATACAAACTTTGTGCACAAGAAGTTCTATCAGATTTTCACAGGTGAAGAAACTTTCAGGAACCTCCTCAATCATTGACTTCAGATAATCCTCTCGAACCCCGCTTAATTAGGATGTAATACATGGAGCTTAGCCTGTCGTTCTCGATTCCCACTTTCGCTTATACACCACTTATCGGCTTGTTCCTCACCGGACCTTGTATCATTGCACTCTTATCAATTTCACAAGCGGTTTATCACTTGGGTAATCTGATCTGTGGCAATATCAATATAACACAGTGTTGCCAGCTAGTACGAAGTCGGATATACTGCAAGCCCGTGATGTACGGTAATGATGACAGAAGCCAAGACTTATCTTGCGCCAGAAACTATACCCAAGCCAGTTTTATTTTGAGCCAAAAAATGACTCGAACGCCCATTATTCCGCTAACCTATTGCTACGACTCGTCATCACATCTACCCTAGGAATTCAAATACTTCTTGTACTCGACTGGTTTCATCGCTTTTCCTTCTGAAAGATCTTCGAAAATTATTTGTCTTCATTCGGTTGGTACTTGGAGACTTCTTTTTATTGAGAATGTTGCAGAATGCTGGTCGAGTCTATTCTCTTTGCAGTCTTGGAGATAAATGAGCTAAATTGTCCGTGAGATTGTGGTGACATTAACTTCCTTGCAACAAGTTTGACGTGTTAGGTAGTTCACTTGGGCTTATAACAGTCTTAACTTATAATGACTATACTTCAGTGTGTTGCAGGTAAATCTAAGTTTGTAATAGCTCTAACTCATGTTAATAATGCTATAAATTATTGTGTTAGAAGCTACATAATAGAAGAAAGCGAACAGTGACTGTAATGGCTGTTCAGTAGAAAACTTCGGGTGACTTTTTAGCACCGAAAGTTACTAAGTCAAAGTAGAATGCTCAATTTTGCACAAGTTTTGCTACGTGAGACTTTTACCAACAACAACTCGCGTTTGGGTTATAACTGTTTATAGCTATAATGACAATGCAGTATAAACAAGCTAGCGATATATAATTGAGCGGTAGATACGAAGTTGTACGTTTAATTGAAATACGAAGGACACGGAATAGACTACACGAAATCAGCAAATCTA